TTAGGGTTTAGGGTTTAGGAATTAGGGTTTAGGGTTTAGGGTTTGAGGCTAACATGCAGTGCTGTCTGGTGCTGTCAGCACTTTGCGTATTTTGCAGGTGACAGGCACAGCCAAATGCCGATGCATTGCAGACACCATCGACCTGTACAGACACCCAAACCCTAAACCCTAAACCCTAAACCCTAAACCCTAAACCCTAAACCCTAGATCGCGAGCTCTAAATCCTAAACCCTGAACCCTAAACCCTAACCCTAAACCCTAGACCTTGAGCTCTAAAGTGTGATAAAGTTCGTGCAGTGGTATGTAAGCATTGAGAAGAAGGAGACAGTAAAGAAAGAAAAAGAAAGAAAAGGAGACAAGGAGACAGACAAAAAAAATAGAAAGAAGACATAAGGAGACAGGAAGAAGATAAAGCCCAAATGCATGAAAAAGAGACAGCAGATAGAGAGACAGAGACAGAGACAGCAAGAAGAATAAACAAGCAAGCAAAGAAAAGAGACAGAAGAAGATAAAGGAGACAAACAAAAATAATAAAAGGAGACAAAACAATAATTACTCCACCTACAGCACTAAGTCGGGCTCGTCTAATAAATACGCCCCGTAAAACCCTCGTCTGGCGATGCCCTGCAAAACAAAACAAAGACAAAAGGAGACAGATATAATATAAAGGAGATAGACGAAAGACAAAAGGAGACAGATGTAATATAAAGGAGACAGACGAAAGACAAAGGGAGACAGATATAATATAAAGGAGATAGACGAAAGACAAAAGGAGACAGATGTAATCTAAAGGAGACAGACGAAAGACAAAAGGAGACAGATGTAATCTAAAGGAGACAGAAGAAAGACAAAAGGAGACAGATATAATATAAAGGAGACAGATAAAAGATTTAGGAGACAGATATAATATAAAGGAGACAGACAAAAGACTAAAGGAGACAGATATAATATAAAGGAGACAGATAAAAGATCTAGGAGACAGATATAATATAAAGGAGACAGACGAAAAACAAAAGGAGACAGATATAATATAAAGGAGGCAGACGAAAGACAGAAGGAGACAGATATAATATAAAGGAGACAGACATAACATAAAGGAGACAGATAAAGGCCTAAGGAGACAGATATAATATAAAGGAGACAAAAGAAAGACAAAAGGAGACAGATGTACTATAAAGGAGACAGATAAAAGATAAGCGAGACAGATAAGGGAGACAATGAAGGCGTTAAATGAGACAAAAGGAGACAATAAAGGAGACAACAAAGGAGACAAAAGGAGACACTAAAGGAGACAAAGAGACGGGAGAAGAGGCAAAAGGAGACAGAGGGAGACAAATGAAGCCCCTTAAGGAGACAACAAAACAGAAAGTA